GGTTAGAGTCATTTCTATGGCCTGCCTTAGGGAGAAAAAGGAGCAGGTGAAAGGAGGGTAGGAGAAGGTCAGGGAGAGAGAGGCCTGCTTCTGAGACCAAAGGCGCCATGCTTATTGCTTTAGTCACTTAGGAAATAACAAGAGCTATGGGAGTTATGAGCCAGGAACCGTGGGTGAAAACCCAAATATATATATATGTATCTCATAATATCACAGTGGACAGGTGACCAGTGGACAGCCAAGGATGGCCTCCAGGCTCATGAGAGGTGGGGCATTAGTCACCCGCCTCTGACCCAGCTCCCACCCAGAAGTCCCTCCTATCACACAACAGAAGCCCTGGACTCAAGACCGCGGTCCCCTTTTTTGAGAGTTTTCCCACCTCCTCCATAAAGAAGCAGCCTGCTTTCGGGGGGACTCAGTGGTCAGCAGACCTGGGGTCTAGCTCTCAATGAGCAGCCCCAGGGAAGTCACTCAACCACCTAGAATCTCATTTCTTTTGATGTAAAATTGGGCTGACGATGCCCCTGCCTTTCCCAGGGTTCTGATGAGAACAGTTGAGGAAGGCAGGGTGTGTGGTTGGCAAACTGGAAAACACTTCACACATGTGTGCTTACAACACAAAGGATTATTTTTTATTATCAATGGTAAGGTATTTAAAAATGTAACAGCAAAAGATGGGAAAGGGAAACCAGGTGAGGACTTTTGTTTAGTGAATGCTCAAAAATCAGCAAAACCAGTGTTCTCAACTGGGGTGATTTTGTGCTGTGGGGAACATTTGGCAAAGTCTAGAGGTACTTTTGATTCTAACGACTGGGGGAGGTGATGCTACTGGCACTTAGTGGGAGGAGTGCAGGGGTGCTACTAAACACCCTACAATGTGTGGGACAGCACTGCACCCCACTGCCACAAAGAACGGCAGCAGTGCTGGGGCTGAGAACTCTGTGCTCAGCTAAACTGAGGCCTCTGCCTGGTTTGAGAGAAGCGTGAGAGGCAGAGGACTGCAGGGTAACTGGAAGTAGAATCAGTGGTAAAGAGACTCAGGCCCACACAATCAAGCAGAGCCATGCTGAGATAAAGGCCTAGATTTCAAAGACCATGAGATTCTAAGTGAAAACATGACAGAAACCAGCTTAATTACACTACCAGGAAGCTGTTTCTGAAGAACTGGTTCTCTTGTATTCTCCCAGTGGGCACATGCTGGGCAGGGATAGCAGCAGGTCGGGGCAAGGCTGGGGCAGAGGCCTCTCCTCCACCCACACTTCCTGTCTCAGCAGCTTGTTTGTTCCCTGTTCTGACCTGAGAAGACAGGTCCACAATGGGAAGGGGGTCTGTACCCTGCTTAGAGCAGCTCAAGACTCCAGCGGGACTCTCCTGTGTGGCTCTCTGTTGCCATCCTCTTGTGCTTCGAGGTGATGCCACCACCAGAGAGGCCTCTGGGACCGAAGGGAGTGGGGATGAGGGAAGAGGATTTGGGATTGTTTTCCTGGCTCTATTTGTTCAATGTTCAGCTCAACATGGAGAGGTTTGGGTCAGTCCAGACAGGGGCTTGGGACGTTGGGTACAAAGCCTTGGTGATACTAAACTGGGAGGTGTGGACCACGTGGAGAGCAGAAGGGTCCCGAAAAGGAGAGCCCAGACCGAGCAAACTCCTCCATCCTCCCATTGCACAAATGACACTTGAGGAACACGACCTCCCTAATGTCACTGTGGGAAGGAAGCTCCCAGGAGACAAGGCCATCCTCATCTAATAAATCCAGGTCTTCACTCTGATTCCTCAGGTGCCTGCCTCCCTCCTCACCTTCCTTCCCTTTTAAAAAAAAATAAGTTCCTATTTATAACCAAAACACTTGTTTTAGTCCGTTCTGTGTTGCTATAATAGAATTACCTGAGACTGGGTAATTTATAAGGAAAAGAGGTTTATTTGGCTTACGATTCTGGGACAGCTGCACGGGCCTCAGGTTGCTTCTACTCATGGCAGAAAGTGGCAGCAGCCGGAGGGTACAAGCAGATCACATGGGGAGAGGAAGTAAGAGAGAGAGGAGGTGCCAGGGTCTTTTTAAGCAACAAGATCTTGCGGGAACTAATAGGGTGAGAACTCACTCATTAAACCCCCCTCCCCCAGGGAGAGTATTAATCCATTCATGAGGGATCCACCCCCATGACTCAGTTTCCAACACCACCACATTGGGGATCAAATTTCCACATGAGTAGGAGGGGACAACACATCTACACTCCATCAACATTGTTCTGGTTTCTACTGCTATAGATTAGTTTTGCCTGTCCTAGAATTTCACATAAATCATACAATATGTATCCTGTTGTGCCTTGCTACTTCCACACAACATTACGCTCTTGAGATCATCCTTACGACTGTATCAGTAATTTGCCCCTTCTTATTGTTGGGTAGCATTCCATTGTAAGAATACATGAGGGTATACTTTAACAAGTTTGTGGAAAACAGAATTAAAAGATAATAGGAAATAGTTCTTTCCATGCATTCTTTGAAGACCCCTCGTATCACAATTTATTTATCCATTCTCCTATTGGTGGACTTTTAAGTTATATTCAGTGTTTTATCATTATGAATAGAGCTGCTTAGGAATTTCCTTCTATTTGTCTTTAAAGCATTAGGGTGGGAAGAAAATGAATCAACATGAAAATCACACATCGAATAAATCGATGAGTCTGAGATGTTAGGAAGAAGCCTGAGAGGAGAAGGAAAGGAACATTTATCAGGCACCTACTCTCTTAATGGTCACTGGGTCACCAAGCAGTACTAACGCCCCTTCATTAAAGAGAAGCATGCTTTGTTTTATGACTTTCTGGCCTAGAAAAATACAGTGATCTACTCTGGTACAATATTACTGTTGGATTCATTTCTTTTCAAGGCTGATGAAAACTTGGCAAGAACTGCTGCTTCACAAACAGACCCTGAGGACCATCTCTGAGCTCAGTGTTTGTTTTGGTTAACTCTGCTTGGCTGCTTAGAGTTGGCAACATTAACCATTTACAGAGCCCATTATGACTTGCATAGGCTTTGAAGACCTTTTGTGCATTGCTACCACAACTATCTTAATTCAGATCTTATCTCCTCTAGTAAGTGGTAACAGACACTATAGTAATCCCCCCTTATCCACAGGAGATACGTTCCGAACCACGGATAGTACCAAACCCTATGTATACTATGTCTCTCCTATATGTACCTATCTATGATAAAGTTTAATTTATAAATTAGGCACAGAAAGAGATTAACAACAATAACTAACAATAAAATAGAACAATTATAACGTACTGTAATAAAAGTTATGCAAATGTGGTCTCTCTCTCTCAAAGTATCTTAATATTTTAGACCACAGGTAACTGAAATTGTGAATGAGGGTGGACTAGTGTGTTGGGTACTGCCCAGAATCCATAACATCTCCTTTACTAGCACCCTCCCTTTCCCCGGCAGAAACATGACTTGTTGACTTATCCTACGCCAGGATCTATATACAAGGACGGGGTCCCCCTCCTCATCCCCAGAAGTAGAATTTTGATTTGTCTAAGACAGTTATGGTATTGTCATTCCCCTGCTGGAGATTGAGTTAGGCAGAGCATGGGTCACACTTGTGACAAATGAAATGTAAGAGAAGTCTGATAAGGGGCTTCTTGGAAAGGGTTTACTTGTTCTTAAAAAGGAAACATTAGAGATATGTAAAGAGGAACAAGCCCTTTTTTGTCTCTGGACATGACTATATGAGGAGGTGATTTCTGGAGCTGTGGCAACCCTCTTGTGACCATGAGGAGACAAGCCTGAAGACAAAAGCCAAACACTGAGGAAGCCGCAGTCCTAAATAACAGAGAGAGGCTTGCTAAAAGAAAATGATATTTATTCAGAAATGGGCATTGCAATGGGAATATGTGTGCCATAGTAAACCATGTGTGTATTCAGGGATGTAAAGGAAGGCAAAGGTTTTTAAAGGAAAAATGAGGAGGATTACGTAATTGTTTTGAGATAATTATCCTTGGCTAGGATCAATAACAAGGGTGGCACCAATAGGAGGTTGGACAGGCAGTTACTGGACAAACATTCTCACAAAAATATTTTTGGGTGTAAGGTTATGGTGGCCTTTGTATAAAGTTGTAGTTTTTGCAGCGTCTTTTGCAATAATTTTTGTTATCAGTCATTCATACATGAGAACCTTCCCTTCATGCACTTCCCCAGCTCTATTTGTCATGGGTTTTAACACAAGTGACTCCATTTTAATTCTGACAACATTCACAAAACAGAATGAAAAAACGGAAGAACCTTGGCCCTGATGACTTATCTAACCAGTCATACCAGAACCACAATTACGGCTTTTTATCTCAAATTCCCCTAGACCTGCTTTCATAGCTCTTTAGTTAAACTTTCAATAAAAAACATGTTCTCCCAGTTTTGCATTAGGCAGAGGAAGGAACAGAAAAATAAAACGAAACAAAAAACAACCTGCAACCTACATACCTTTTCTATTCTTTGAAAAACACAGCTTTCCCTTCCCCCCAGGCCTCCAACACTCAAATTTAGAAGTGATGAGCCAATGCCTGAATCCCAAGGAGAACAAAAATAGTGCTTATTAAATTTAAAAAACATACAAACAAACAAATATAAGATGAGCTGACTACTTTAAACATCAAGTTTTGAGCTATTTCCCTGGAGAGGGTTTGAGACAGGTGATAATGCTTCCTAGGTCAGAACAAAAGACGTTCAGAAGATGCAGAGGCCCTTGACCCTGGGACTGGTGATCATCCCCTCCCACCCGAGTGNTCGGCCACGGGATCGGCCACGGGATCGGCCACGGGATCGGAACCCTCGGTGTTGCTCCCGCCCCTCGCTCAGCCAGTGAGCGGCCGGTCCGCATGCGGGATCCGAACCCTTGGTGGGAGCGCCACCGTGCTTCCCAAGTGGCGCATTATAGTAGTGCGCCACCGGGCCGGCCCTAGCTGACTACTTTAAACATCAAGTTTTGAGCTATTTCCCTGGAGAGGGTTTGAGACAGGTGATAATGCTTCCTAGGTCAGAACAAAAGATGTTCAGAAGATGCAGAGGCCCTTGACCCTGGGACTGGTGATCATCCCCTCCCACCCGAGTGCCCCAAAAGGCTAGTGGCACCCACCTACCCTCAGCCCTGAAGCAGCTGGCGTGGATTTGAGTTGCACTTACTAAGATAGCATACGTAAGGGAGTTTATAATGACCACCCTTCTGGGTGGGGTCTACAACCTGGAAACTATTCAGCCTCTGGAAAGATTCAAAAACACCAGTCACTCCAAGACCCCGCAGGATTGGAAGGGTAGAAAATCCTCGTCAGGAGGGTCCTCCTGCCAGGTAAATAGAAAGAGTCTTAGGAAACCTTACATTCCCATTTTGTCTCCTTCATTGAAACACATTGACAGATGGAAAACCTCATGCATAATTTCCCTTTCTATTTCTAAATCTATTCCTTCAGATTATCCCCCCATTATAAAATAGGCTGTCGTAAGTATACAAAAATGTGGAAAACAGAAAAATCACCATAATTTACCACCTTCACAAAACAATTACGTCAGGAGGGTCCTCCTGCCAGGTAAGTAGAAAGAGTCTTAGGAAACCTTACATTCCCATTTTGTCTCCTTCATTGAAACACATTGACAGATGGAAAACCTCATGCATAATTTCCCTTCCTATTTCTAAATCTATTCCTTCAGATTATCCCCCCATTATAAAATAGGCTGTCGTTAGTATACAAAAATGTGGAAAACAGAAAAATCACCATAATTTACCACCTTCACAAAACAATTAATATTTTGTTCCATTTCAGTCATTTGTTTCTGAACTTATTTTCAAAAGTACAGCTTCTTATGGCTGGGTATTTTTGTTTTGTTTTTGGCTTTTGGTTTATTTTTAAGATCTCAAGAAGGATGGTGGGATATCCTGAAAATAAGGAACAAGTAAGTGAAGGACCATCTTTCTTATTTTTAAAGGGAAAACTTTGGAAATTATATTAGAACAAATTAAGTAGGCTATTTAAGAAGATTCTAGAAAAAAACCCAGCAGATCATCAGCAAACTCCTAAAAGAGTATAAAAAAATCAAGATATATCTGGTTGGCTGCAAATATCATCTTGTGGTAAAAAATCATGCCAAAGTGATTCAAGTCTAGTGGACTATGAGGAACTCTTCAGATAGGGGAAGTAATAGATATAATCTACAGGGTTTAGCTAAGCTTTTTATTTTGTCTCATGTGATAGTAGCCTCCTCAACAAGCTAACATATTTCCATTAGGAGAGAATGAGGTAGTTCAGAGGGGATCATTTAAGGAGGATTGTCAATGGCTCTACACAACTCTGAACTGAACATTTTAAGTGTCTTCCCACCGGTGTTTATCCCTGTGCTGGGTTGATTTTAGTATCTTTACTAACAACTCCACAAAGTGCTCCTAACAGTGGCTGACAAATAGCAGGTAGCTGTTGTTATGAAATTGAGAATATGCCTATTAATCTAAAATACCCAGGTTTCCCAAACCCAAGTCCAATGTGCTATACTATATAGGCATGACTGGCCACCAGAAGCCCTGGAAGGTTCTGGTGGGTTGCGCAGTGGAGAACACACATATTGGCAGCAAATCTAAAGGGGCCGGGCCAAGCACAATTCCAGAGATCCAAGGATGGAAGGCACCTTCATCAGAAATAGTGTTTTGGGGGGCATAAAGGAAGCAAATATAAGTACATGTTACAATTAGATGAGAGGGAGTTCTTAAAATAGCTAGTTACTTGTCTAAAGCTTATGAGAAAGAGATATAGTCACATGCTGCATAATGACATCTCAGTCAGCAATGGATAGCATATATGACGGTGGTCCCATAAGATTATAAAAACTTTTTTTTTGCAGCTGCCAGTATGGGGATCTGAACCCTTCACCTTGGTGTTATAACACTGTGCTCTAACCAATTTAGCTAACTGGCCGGCCCATATTGTTTTTTGGTTTTTTTACAATACCATATTTTTACTGTACCTTTTCTATGTTTAGATGTGTTTTGATACACAAGTACTTATCACTGTGTCACAATTACCTACAGTATTCACTACAGTAACATGTTGAACAGGTTTGTAGCCTAGGAGCCATAGGCTATACCATATAGTTTAGGTGTGTAGTAGGCTATACCACCTAGGTTTGTGTAAATACACTCTACGATGTTTGCACAATGACAAAATCACCTAACAACATATTTCTCAGAACATATCCCTATTGTCAAGTGATAAGATTGTACTTGATTGTACAATGCACTTATTTTATCTTTCTCTATAACTTCCTTTTATTGAGCACCTACTATGAGCCAGATGCTCTGTTGGGCCCTTTTCATCATCATGGGGGTGACCCAATTGCCAGAGTAATTCTGGTTTCTCCAGCCACAACCCTGGGTCATTCCACAAAGCATGTTGGTAACAGCAGCAGAGAAGAAGCAAGTTCACTTACCTGGCCTGCCAGGTTGAAGTAAGAATGGTTGGTGAGATTGACGGGAGTGGTCTGACTGGCCTGTGCTCTATAGTTGACCATGAGCTCCCCGCCATCCAGGGTGTATGTCACCCAGACTTTTAACTCTCCGGGGTAGCCTTCCTCACCATCCGGACTGACACGTGAGAACTGGACACCATTTGACAGCACCCGAGGGGTCCAGAGGACCTAGAAAAAAGTGTTTCCAAAGCTGCTTAGTCACTACAATCCCAAGCTAAATGCCACATTTCAATATTTAAAGACAGCTGATTCCAGGAAGAAAAACAACCGTTAAGGCTTTTGAATAAGAGCCTGAATTTTAATTATTCTAAAATTTGATTTTATACAAAGAAGTGGCTTTTGAGAGAAAAAATTTTTTTCTCTTTACCTACTCACATTCCCCATACTCTTTCCCCCTGAATTTATATGTATGTGTCTACAATATTTTCCTCTTCACCTTCTCTGATTATTTTTCTTTGATTTTTCTTCATCTTGGAGCCCCATTCTGATAAGTGTCACGTAGTAATATCTGCCAATAGTACTAAAAAGTCAGTTTAATAAATCAGCCCCTCTCTCCTGGGGGTACTATATACAAATATTTATTAAAAAACACTCTAAGGTTCTCTGTGTTCCCTGGGCAGAGCTCAAAACCAGTAAGGCACTTATTCCATTTGGAAGAGTTCGACCCCACAAGTCAGGAGTCCTGATTTTGGGGCCAGGTTTGTTCCTAGTTCATTTGTGGAAATTTGGGTATCAATTTCTTCCATAAAATAAAGGGGTTGAAATAATGATCTTGAAGATTCCTTCTTGCTGTAGAAAATATGATTCTAAGAATGGCAAGAAAAACATTACGAAAAGTTTTCTAAAAGGTTTTTGCTTTTGGACATAGTGATAGGAATCTTGGATTAACACAGTGGTTCCTCTCTACTTTGCTCTAGAGGCCCTAAAATAATACTTGTAGGGAAAGGAAAATTAACATTTATTGAGTGCTCATTATGAGCCAAGACACTTTGCTAGAAACTTCACAGACACTATCTCATCTGTCTCAGAGAGGACTTAAAGTAGGTTCCCTTATTCTCATTAAATGATGAGAGAACTGAGGCTTGGAAAGGATAAACTGCTTGCCCCAGGCCACACTGCTAGTAAGTGACAGTGGATTTGATTCTGAGCCTGTGCTTGTTGCCTTATTCTGCACTATCAGAGCATGACGTGGCCAGAGATTCTCAGTCCCCTTAGGGAGCTCTGGGCTCACTAGCAAAGGGGCCTTTTGCAGACATGAGACCTTCAATTTGTTGAGAATTCACCAGTCACTGAACTGATGCTTTATATAAATCATCTTACAAGGTAAGGATTTGGTTAAGACAAATGAAATGACCATCTTTGTAGGTCAAAACAATTGAACACTGGCAATTTCATATAACTCCAACTAATATTTTTACATCCATTTTACAGATAGGCAAATGGAGTTCAATGGAGTTAACTTGCCCATTTCTACCTCCCACATCTCAGGGGAAATGGGTAGAACCCTTTCATATTTCATGCCCATTGTTTAAAAGGAAAAAAAATCTTGTTTAAAGTCATATGTGTAATTAGTGACAAGAGTTAGGACTCAAACTCAGGTCTGGCTGTCTACACTATTCTACATCTTAGTTTCAGTGAATTTTTCGTTTAAATCGCCATTTTCAATAGAAGAGTTGAGGCCAAACTCTGTCATTCCAAATAGACTTGAAAGACAGTAACTTCTGTGAGCCACAGGACTGGCCTATGAACCCAGGCTCTGCCCCCCCACTCCTGGCTTGGTCTGGCTCTCATGGACATTGCATTTGCCAGGAAGGGGGAGCCCAGTGGGAATAGAGCTGGTATTTGAAACCAATCCACTGAGCTTAGTAAAAAATTAATTTTACACTCTAATTATCTCTCAGAAATGTTGACTTTTCAAGACACTTAAAACATGAGGACTGTTACATGTATAATTTAAAAAAAGAAAAAAGTCCCCCTAATGGAAAATTTTTGGAATTAAATATTTGAAACAAAATGTTAACTAGCTACCTAGTTTTTCTCCTTTAGAGAAAGGACACAATGGAAAGGTTTTTGTGTAAACTAATATTATCAGTCAAGTATAATTCTTATTCATGGAAGGATTTCCCTGACCCTGTAGTTTCCTTATTTCCAGAAATTTTGTATCTCTAGACCTTCTTATGTCATTTCTAATCCTGTCAGGGTTATTCAACTTTCACCTTTTAAAAAAATGTGTCGATATAAATGGAAAAACACATAGCTCCAAACCAACAATTACATTCAGTAATTGTTAACATCCAACACAACATAAAGCAAACAGTAAAAAACCAAACAACCTGATTAAAAAATGGGCAAAGGAGCTTAACAGGCATTTCTCAAAAGAAGATATACAAATGGCCAACAGACACATGAAAAAATGCTCAACATCTCTCAGTATCAGGGAAATGCAAATCAAAACCACATTGAGATATCTCACCCCAGGACTATCATATTATCAAAAAGTCAGAGAATAACAAATGCTTGTGAAGATGCAGAGAAAGGGGAACTCTCTTACATTGCTGGTGGGACAGTAAATTAGTGCAGCCATTATGGAAAAGAGTATGGAGATTCCTCAGACAACTACAGGTAGAACCGCCATATGATCCATTAATCTCACTGCTGGGTGTGTACCCAAAGGAATGGAAATTATCATGTCGAATGGACACCTGCACTCCTATGTCTATCGCAGCTCTAAGTGTCCATCGTCTGACAACTGGACAAGGAAAACATGGTATATATACACAATGGAATACTACTCTTCCATAAAAAGAATGAAATTCTGCCATTCATAGCAACATGGATGAACTTAGAGAAAATCATGTTAAGTGAAATAAGGCAGGCACAGAAAGAGAAATACTGCATGTCCTCACACATAAGTGGGAGCTAAAAAAACAAAACAAAACAAATAAATAAAAAAAGAAAGAAAAAGATACAACAATTACAATAATTTGTTGAATTTTCAAAAGGAGAGAATACGACTGAGGCCACCAGAGGTGGGAAAAGGGAAGGGGGAAGGGTTAGTGAGAAATTGTTAAAGGGCCACAAAAAATGATTACATTATATAATGTTGAATATACTAATTATCTTGATTTGAACATCAAACATTGCACTCAGGGTTTTTTTTTGAGGGGGGAGGTGCCGCTGGCCTGTATCAGGATCCGAACCCAAGACCTTGGTGTTATAAGGTGTGCTCTAACCAACTGAGCTAACTGGCCAGCCCTGCACACATGTATTGATATTCAACACGGTACCCCACAGATATTTACAATCAATTATATTTCAATTAAAAACAACAACAACAAAGTTTATCTGATATTGTTCATATTACTATGTCAAAACCTACTGCTCAAAAATTTTCAGTGGCTTGATAAAAGCATTCAAAGTCTTTCCCCACCCCTCTCTGGACCATTGCACAGCCATTCTCTCTAATTTCCACATATTGAATGAAATGGTATCTGCTCTTCAAGGGCAGCTCATATCCCACCTCCTCAGTTGCTATTCATTCGCTCAGATCCAGTTCCTACGGCACACGGTCAGCATCTACATTACGGCACTTCCTGCAGCTCGCCTGTAAGTTATTTACATAAAGGTCCATCTCCCTCACTATACTGCGGTCTGCAGGAATCCCCAGTATATGATGCTGCCTGGTTCACAAAAGCTCAGGAGGCACACTGCATTGATGATATGTATATTCACTATTTTGCAACGTTCATAAAGGGGATACATGTTAAGCAGAGCCACAGAAAATGCCACAGTGGAACAGTGGAACAGAGAGAACAGGAACAAGCTAGACCAAGGTGCTGTTCTGAGGCTCCTCTGAAGATCGCTGTCCCAAACCAAGCTGGGCCTTCCGTCCTCTGGCTGGGGTCTGCCCACACACCTGGCATGGTGCAGAGACTCTGTCCTAACACTGACAGAGCAGACGCTACCCTCTGCCTTTCTGCCCTCCCTGGCGTGAGCAGTCCCATCGTTGAGGACAGAGGAACCAATGAGGCTGTCTGGCTCCTGGCCACAGACAGGAAGTTGGTAGAAGAGGGGAAATAGAGCAACCAACTTCCTTCAACATGGCAGGTGGCAGTCAGAGGCAGAAAAGAAGAAACTGTGGCCTCTAGCTGCCATTCATGCTGCTGTCTTCTCTAGCAAACAACCTGGATGGTATTAAAGGAAGGCTAGTTACTGAAATTTTCCCTCTCACAGCCTGAAATCAGACTAGTAAGAGAGTCACTGGGGTTAACCTTCCACTGCGGTAGGAAGCAGGAAGCCAAGCAGCCCTCCCTCAGGGAGAAGCTGTTGGATCAATTTACTTTCCAGACCTTGTTTTCCTGGTCACATTTTATTTTTTTGTTTTGTTTTGTGGAGTTTTTATGTGGAAAGGGGAAAGTGGGGAGAGCCTGAGGTCACTTTGAGGCGCATGGAACTTCAGTGGAGGGGGAGGCCTGGGCACGGCACCACAGTCACAGGGAGGGGCTTCAGGACAGGTCCAGGGAGGTGTGGGTGGGGGGCACCAGCAGTTGTAGTGTAGGAATGAGATGAGCTAGAGAAGGATGGGCCCCGGAATGTGGCCATGGTGTCTGCTCCCCCTGAACCACGGAGCAGCCGCTTTCCTATATCCCCTACCATGCTTGTGCTGTAGGGCCCAGGACTGTGCCTGGCAAACAGAAGGGATGCTTCAGGGCACCTTGTGAAGTGGGCCAGGTGGCAACTCTGCCAGATGCTCCTGACTCACCTTATCAAACCCTCTGGCTCCTCCATGCAGACTGTTGGGCTCCCTGTTAATGGCCAGGTGATACTCCTTCCCGTCCAATGTGAACGTCCCTTTGGCAATTCGGTTGGCCACCCTCCCAACGACTGCTCCAAAGTAGGGCTGCTTCTGGAGGTAACCTGCAAGGACACGGATGACAGCCTTTTTTAAATCTTCAAACCAAAAGTGAGGCTCACACTGCTGCCCACCCCTTTCTTCTGAGGAACGCTGCAGGTACTGACGACTAGGGCTTATCAAAATCCTTATGAAGCACAGAAAAATGGCTTTATACACATGACCTTTTCCTTTTCCAAAAGTAATTCATGTTCAGTATACGAAATGTTAAAGAACTTTATAAAGCACAAGGAAGAGATTGAAACCCTCTTTAATCTCATCCCTAGTGAGAACCGCTGTTAATATTCTTATGTATATCCTTCCATCTTTTAGTATGCGTACAGGTGCTCTTATTTTTCCTTTTTATAAAACTAGGATCTTTGTAATCTGCTTTTTCCCAGGCCAATCAATTTTCTTAACTAAAAATGATACTTTTAATTAGTAAAGGGCTACAAAAAATGATTACATTGTATAATGTTGAACATACTCATTATCTTGATTTGAACATCACATATTGCACACAGGTGATGATATTCAACTCTGTACCCCATAGGTATGTACAATCAACTGTGTTACAATAAAAATAAATAAATAAATGAATAAAACGAAAGACAAAAGAAATGATACTTTTGTGTAGTCTCGAGAGGAAACTATCTTATTCTTCTTTCTCTTTTCATTTAAAAAAAAAAAATCACACAGATATAGAGTAGGCTTGCCAGAGGAAATATAGGATGCCCAGTTGGATTGGAATTTCAGATAAACAATGAATAACTTTTAATATAAGTATGTTCATATTATTATTATACATGGGACACACTTATACTTAAAAAGTATATATTTTCTATCTGAAATTCAAATTTAACTGAGCATCTGGTATTTTTATTTGCTAAATATGGCAACTTTTTTCTTTTTCCTTTTTGTCTTTTTTCGTGACCGGCAACGGGATCGCAACCCTCGGTGAGGGGAAATAGAGCAACCAACTTCCTTCAACATGGCAGGTGGCAGTCAGAGGCAGAAAAGAAGAAACTGTGGCCTCTAGCTGCCATTCATGCTGCTGTCTTCTCTAGCAAACAACCTGGATGGTATTAAAGGAAGGCTAGTTACTGAAATTTTCCCTCTCACAGCCTGAAATCAGACTAGTAAGAGAGTCACTGGGGTTAACCTTCCACTGCGGTAGGAAGCAGGAAGCCCAAGGGAGCGCCGCCACGCTCCCAAGCGCCGCAATCTACCAAGTGCGCCACCGGGCCAGCCCTAAATATGGCAACTTTAATAAAGAGTTTTAACGTGAAAGCCTTCCTTCATCTTTCAACTCCCCTTCTTCCCAACAGTAACTACTATTAATGGTTTGGTATGTACACTTCATTTTTAAAAACAATAACTACACATAAGCATAAATACAAATACATAAACACATATTCTATATAAAGCGAATTGTACTATATACATTATTTTGCAATTTTTCACTTATCATAAGTCTTAAGATCTCTCCGTGTCACTACATATATATCTACCATACTCCTTTTGATGGCTACATGGTATAATGATGTGCATAAACTGTTGCTGGGTTTTTTTGTGTGGAAAGAGGTCTCTAAATAGCAATGTAACATCCCTGTACTTAAACTTTGTGCATGGTTAGGGCCAGTCTGTGGCGCACTTGGGAGAGTGCACCGCTGGGAGTGCAGTGATGCTCCTGCCGCGGGTTCGGATCCTATATAGGAATGGCGGGTGCGCTCACTGGCTGAGCACGGTGTGGGCGACGCCACACCAAGGGTTGCGATCCCCTTACCGATCACGAAAAAGACAAAAAAAAAAAAAAACTTTGTGCATGGGCATAGTAGCGTACTTTCCTTCTCTTTAAGTTCCTCTGTGCTTAGTTTACAATGAAAGAGACTGAGGTTTGGAGAGAGTTTGTTTTCTGTGTTATCTATCACCGTGATTACTTTCTACTCTATTTTTCACTCAGATGCCCTTGGAATTCCACTCTCTTTTCCCATGGTACTCTGTATCTGCCATGTTTACTTCAGATCAGAGAATGCACTTCAAGCATATGAACTATTTTTTCCACGGCTGCAGGAGCTCTGGGGATACAGACCCTGACCCAGTTAGGGCAGTTACAGGTCACAGTTTCCCATTACTCAAATGCGCACAAGTTAAACATTAATTGTTCTCTTTCCTGGTCTTTCCTGGTTCACTTCCTTGCTAATCTGCAGGTGCCTCAGAGTCCTACTCATGGACTATCATAATAGCTAATGCTTACTGAGTGCTTTCTAAGTGCAAGCCACTTTCTCAGCGCTCTGCAATTAACTCATTTTATCCTCAGAACACTTCTGCTTTACAGATGTGGAAAATCCAGTTTTATAGATGTGGAAACTGAGGATAGAAAGTTAAGTCACTTGCCCCAAAACACACAGCTAGTTAGTGGCAGAACCGGGACTTGACCAGGCAGCCTGGCTCTTGAGTCCATGTTCTCAAGCACCCCATTATTTGGAAAGCACAAGGCTACCTGACTGACAGACCTTACCACCATCCCCAAGCACGGGCCAGGCTGATCTCTCCACTCATTCCCACCTCTCTCCCCACCCTCTTCTCTTTCTGAAACTGTAGTTTTAAAACTCCTGACACTGGTTAACCAAAAAGATCCCCACAGGGCCAAATAACCTTTCATTTGTTTTGCTTCATCTGCTTTTCAGAAGCTCAAAAATGTAAAGAAAGCAGAATTTTTGTCTAAAAAACTGTTTGACGGCAGCTATTTTTTTTGTGGGTGGGGGAGGCTGGTTGGTACAGGTATCAAATCCTGGACCCTGGTGTTATCAGTACCATCCTCTAATCAGCTGAGCTGAACTGGCCAGCCTGTAGCTATTTTTGATCCCTCTCTTGGTTCATTCAACAAATGTGCACCAAGCCCCCACTCTCTGCCAGAGGCATGCTAGGCAATGGAGACAAACTTCTGCCCCATGGGCTTGCAAGAATTCCTTCAGAAAGGACCACTTCCTGGCAAGGGGGTTAATCAGCCCTGGAGATAAGCACTTGCCATTTCCTTAGTTTGGAGGAATAGTTCTTAAGGATTGAGGAGAATGGAAACCCCTGCTTCCAAATGTCTCTGAAAAACCCATCAAAACAAAGATTTTAGATTATTTTCATGTGCTACTAAGCTTTCAGCTCAAATCAGAATCACAAAAAGTGACAATCCCCAAATCCTGAATAGGGTGTGACTAAATGGTTGTTTTGAAATGCAGAAAATACTGTTTTCCATAAAAAAGTTCCAAGTTCCTAGGTCAAGCCATGAGTGCTGATTTAATCAAGTCAATTGGCTGAGGTGAAAGAGTAGAGGGAATGTTGGCCCCTTTTACTGGGCAAGGCACTGGCCAGAATAAATGCTTGACCATGGGATATGGCCCTTCCCCCTCCTCTAACACCTCAAGGACCCCAACTGTGACACCCACCTCGGACAGCCCAAATCTTACTTAGCCACAGTGCCCTAAGTCTGAAATAAAATTACTTGCTCTCAATGACCTCCATCCTCTCCAATGACTGTCCTTTGGCTTTACGAGGAAAACAACTAAGTTTTAACTGACAAGACTTTAATCATCCCAGATAGTTTGTATATTTTTAATGGCTGTGGTTGTCCCAGATGAATCTCTACACCATTTCCATTTTTTCAGTGTTCAAGTGAAATAAAAATTTCTAGGCTGGCTGGTTAGCTCAGTTGGACACCAAGGACAAGGGTTCATATCCCCATCTGGCCACCTGTTCCCCTCTGCCCCCCCCCAAAAAAAGTTCTAATAGTGTGAGGGAAGATATTTGGGGGCTCTGTGGAAAAAACAAACTCGTTTTTTCCCCACTATGCTCTCACAATATGCTTCTAACACCAGATGTGTAGGGACTTCTCCCCACCAGCAAACAAGCCAGCAATTTTGCAGTGGACACCAGCTGGATGTCCTCCAGTTCAACCTGTCTCAACACTATCTACCTGGAGATAGCATCAGATCCCACAGGTTGAGGGCTCAGCTGCATAAGACTGTCACCCATTTCTGAGGCTAGTTGCAAGCGTCAGGTTGTTTTATCTGTGCTTTGGACCGATTGGCTATAAATTGGAGTTCCACAACCCCCTCCTTGGGGATTTGATTAATTTGCTAGAGCAGCTCACAGAATTCAGGGAGATACTTACTTATGTTTATAGGTTTATTATACAGGATATTAAAAAGGATACAGATGAAGAAATGCATATAGGGCAAAGTATGGGGAAAGGGGCATGGAACTTCCATGACTTCCCAGGGGGCACCACCCTCCAGGAGCCTCTACATGTTCAGTTATCTGGAAGCTCTCCACACCCTGTCCTTTTGGACCTTTTAAGGAGACTTCATTGGATAGGTATGACTGAAGCATGAACAACCGTGTAGAAATGTAGGAACCATATAGAAATGTGATTGGATATGAACAACATGTGGAAATGTGATTGAAGCATGAACAACTGTGTAGAAATGCGATTGGACCAAAAAAGTATGACCTAATACTAATAGACTGAGTGGGAAAACCTAGTCTTTTCAGATTCTTCTGGGCCTCTCTGTGCAGCATTCCTTCCTCCTGGGGAAGGGGCAGGACCTCTTCTAAATGGGGGTCTTACGACCTACAATCAGAAAAGGCAGGTCAGAGAATTTCTTTATGACCAGCTCCACGACAGAAAGGCGGAGGGAGGTTAGAGTCGTTTCTATGGCCTGCCTTAGGGAGAAAAAGGAGCAGGTGAAAGGAGGGTAGAAGGTCAGGGAGAGAGAGGCCTGCTTCTGAGACCAAAGGCGCCATGCTTATTGTTTTAGTCACTTAGGAAATAACAAGAGCTATGGGAGTTATGAGCCAGTAACTGTGGACAAAGAACAGTGTGTGTGTGTGTGTGTGTGTGTGTGTGTGTGTGTGTGTGTGTGTGTGTGTGTGTGTGTGTGTGTATACCAATCATAATATCATAGGGGCAAAGGAAGGAAACGGGATAAAAATGATTCGTTCTTATCAGAGATGTATTGCATATGTGGTCAGATATGGTCAGACAGAGATCACAGCCCATAGTGCATTTAATCATCACAACCCATTTGTTTCAAGTGAGGAAATAGGTCTAGAATGGTTAAATAACTTGCCCAAGGGCACACAACTTTAAGGGACAAAGCAGAGATTTAAACCAGAAATCCTCAATGCTCCCACAAGGATACTGTTGGGCATGTGCAACATTAAACTGCAGCCCCTAATCTGATCCCTTTTTTCTCTACTATCTCTTCTTTTTTTTTTTTTTCCTTTTTGTCTTTTTTCGTGACCGGCAACGGATCGCAACCCTCAGTGTCGTGCCCGTACCGGACCGGGACCGGCAACGGGATTGCAACCCTCAGCGCTGCACCCGCACCTCGCTCAGCCGGTGAGCGGGAACCGGTCTGTACGTGGGATCCGAACCCTCGGCGGGAGGGTCACCGCGCTCCCAAGCGGTGCACTGTAGCAGTGCGCCACCGGGCTGGCCCTCTACTATCTCTTCTAAACCTGGGTTTCTCAAAGCACTAAGTTTATTTTTTCTATGTTTTCCATAATGGTGCTCATGGCAGTAATAGCTGGGTATTTGGAGGTAACTGAGGGAAAAATGGAAGGGACAGTGTCTCATAGATTATATACGTAGGTTGTTTATACCTTTGGCTTATAAGCAAATAGTCTCATCACAGGCTTTGAAAGAAGTCATAATGACAGTAGGTGGAACATGCAGAAGAAAAACATTTTAAATATACAAAAATAGTAGAAAAACTCACAGAGGCATTACTGATTTTTCCAGGCTGTTACTAAAAGATTGCATAATTTACCTCTGTTGAATTCTACAGAAGAAAGATCTCATTTTCCCGGGAGAAACTGAACCATTCTGACCTCCAGTGATGGCCGTCATCCAAGCAGTTTATATAATCTGTCTGGGAAGCTGGCGATTGTTCACATCCAACCTGCCAGTCACAAAAGGACCATATCTCATGGAATTATCCATGCTTGGCTCTTCCTCATGAATGAAAAATTTGGGGGACATGGTAATCTCAAGATAACCCCTAATTCTGTCAAGTCATCACTTTAAATTATTTACCTCAGTTTGTTTATATATACTTAATGATAAACCAGAAATCTGCTCTGACTGAGGTCAGCTAAATTCCTAACGCCTTGGGAAGTCTGGGATGAGCTGGCAGCCCCATCCCCACATCCTGAAAAATGTTTACCATAAGATCATTTTAACTGAAGAGCTAGAAATGCTGTCAACAAAGAAAATGATCAATTAACTCAGGAATGCTAAAAAAAATCTTGTTACTCTTGCTTATCAATAGGATGTAACCGAGAACTAATCATTAGACCATAAAGTACTAAGTAACGAGTGAAAAAACTGATGTACTGGTTGAGGGGCTGTCCCCTCTCTTCCCTTTGTCTTCCCCTTCTCTGTCACTAAAAAAAATAATGAAACTTGGATTATAATTTGGAACATACGGGGCCGGCCCAGTGGCGCACTGCGCTGGTGCGCTGCTTGGGAAGCGTGGTGGCGCTCCCGCCGAGGGTTTGGATCCCACATACAGACCGGTTCCCGCTCACTGGCTGAGCAAGGCGCAGGGGCAGCACCGAGGGTTGCGATCCCGTTGCCGGTCCTGGTCCGGTACGGGGGCGACACTGAGGGTTGCGATCCGTTGCTGGACACGGAAAAAGACAAAAATAATAATAATAATAATAAAATAAAATAATTTGGAACATACGGTTCAAGCCCTTTTGAATCTGTATCTTTCTGGGCTGTGGTCACAAATATTTGGCTCAAATAAATTCTCTGATTTTTTATCAGTGCCTCAGGTTCTTTATTTCAGGTTGACACTTACACACTCAGACATTTTAGAAGAATATACAGTGAAAATTAAGTTTTCTCCCTACCCCTTTACCCCCAGTTACCCAGGGTCCTTTCTTATGGACAACCACTGTTACCAGTTTCTTGTTGACATGGGTTTTAATACACCAGAATTGAAGTGTAGTAGCAAAGTGCCATAAAAATAATAGCAGAGCATCATTTCACACTTTTCTGATGGAGACAATTATGCTACCTGTTTTCACATATATGAAGTCTTATTGATCTTGGGCAATACTAAAAGAATCTATAAAAAACTAAAAGGTCATAAAAAGGGAAATAGAGTCCACTCAACAATAATCTCAAAGTTGGCTGAACATATTAGAAAGCATTACTTAATGTTCTAAGGGTTTTCCGCCTCAACGTTTTTGCAAAATAGCTTTCTTTACTTTTAAAATAATCAAATAATCTAAAGTACAGCACAGGAATAAAAATGTCCATCTCGATCCAGCACCTAGAAGAATATTTTAAATGCTCCGATTCAACCTGACAGTTTGTGAAGCCTGAGATGCACCTGTTAAGAAAATGCTATTGTACATTCTCACGATACCGTATGTTGCTAATAGGGAGGGCAATAAAATACCGACTAGGTAATTGAAATTCTTTCACCAGGACTCCCACAAGGGTCATAGACTCACAGAGATGACTGTGTAAATGCTCTCACAAAACTGACACTTCTATGCCTATCAGTAAAGTGGTGCTTTCCAGGTGCCACATCACAGTGGCTTATATTTCATATGAGTTCCAAAGATGCCTTGTGTTTTTAGATTCATGTGACTCTTAACATCAGAACTCAAAAAGTCAAGAAACAAGGGAGGTGTGTGTGTGTGTGTGTCTTTGTAGGGGGTGAGTAGTACCTCTCTGAATGGTAACAAGGCAGAGATGCAAATGAGGCAACAAGAGCAGGTGCCCATAGACTGTCATCTTCAACTCTTTAACTAGCTCTGGAATTCTAGGACATATGTCCAATTCTCCTTTGGTTCCATTGAGCGATTTTGCATGAATCAAGTAATCTCTTTGTGATACTGTTTCAGCCTAGAAAATCGTTATGCTACTAGCAGAGAGAGATGACTCAGCAAAATGCTTCTAAAGAATCTTCTTTGTCACTTGCCAGTGCTCTTGCCTTCTGACTCTGAAGATGTCTTCCCCAGAAGTTGGAGGGGACGTGGAGAGGAAGGGGGCGTCGAGCTGATTTTCTCCATGTCCTTGCACCTTCCTACCAGTGAGTCTCTTTATAACAGACTCACTTAAGTTATCAAAGAAATTCTTTAGAAAGCTACCCCCTTCTCCAAGCCAAGGTGTGGAGACTCCAAGGCAGATAAAGACAATCAGAGGTAAGAAATAGGATCCTCAGGAATATTCTTATAATAAATTTTGTTAAGGAAACAGAACAAATTTCAGACTCCTATGGTAAAAAACAAAACTCTCAGAGTTTCAGAGATGACTCCAAACCACGAGCCAAGTCACATATTTAAAGAACAGATAAAAAGACACACCAAAAGGAAAACCTCAAACTTCCTCTCCAGCAGAATTTGTCCACACCCCCACCATTGGGCAGAGGGTTTTAATTCTGTTTTTCTTTGCCAACTATATTTCAAGCCTCATTTTCTGTCTAGTTACACTGTAGTGCCAAGAGAGCACGATGTGCATTTTCCTTTGCTGCAATCAAACTGCAAATGTAATTATTTATTTATGCAATTATTGGGTTAAAGTCTATCTCCCCAGCTAAACTGCAGGCTCCATGAGGGTGGGGACCTTGTCTGTCTTGTTGATTGAATTCACTAAATTTTAAATGTATGAGTTAACACATAAGTTTTAAATGCATGAATTAATTAATACATGATCCTAATAGCCCATGGATTCCGACGGGATAAAAGTCCATCCTAGTTAGAAGGAGACCTCATTTCTAGACACTGAGTTGGTCTTCTCCATTTTATTCAGTATATGGTGTGCTGGGACCCCGCTGTGCCTAACGTTAGGGAGCATTTCTGAGACAACCAGGCCTCAAAGAGAATCTGATAAAGGAAAAAGGAAGCAGACAATGCACGCCTTTATTTTTCTCCAGAAAGGACACGTGGGCAGAACTGGGAGTCCCACCCCCTCTTGCCTGTTCTTTCCTATCCAGACCCTCAAAGGATCAGGCGGTTCAAAGATCGCTCTAGGGTTGGTGGACTTTTCTCTCACCCCCTAGGGACTTTTCTGTTTTCTTTTGGCGGCTGGCCGGTAGGGGGATCACAACCTTTGACCTCGATGTTATAACCGCGCTCTAACCCACTGAGCTAACCCGCCAGTCCGCCCTCTGTTGCCTTTTTATGTTAATTGAGGCAAAGCCTGAGTGGATAAGCAGAGGTCACGTTCTATAGCTATTTGCATTTATTTTGGTTTTTCCCAAGCATTGGATCGCCATACAACCCCGAGTTATCTGGATCCACTCACTCCCAAGTTCGACGGTCCCAAGCTCGGGGACTTTCGCCTCGGTCCCTCGCATCGCGTTGCCTGCGGCGGGATCTATGGGGGGGCTGGGAGGGTG